TGCTTGATATTCATGTTGAAGCCTTTTAGATTACATAACTGAAGGAAAATAGTTGTTCCCAACCATCAGCCACCACAAAGAGTTTGGCTAAACAGGAAAGCTTCTTTTATTCTGGCTTTGCCTGCATTTAACTACATAGTCGAATCTGATCAAAATGCTATCACTTAAACAATAGGATAAAAATCGAGGGTGGGAAGGGGCAACCATTTGAGTTTGGTCCCATCTGATACTATTGGAAAGTTACACTATTGATCTTCTAAAATTTTTACCCTAGGTTTAATCAATAAATCTGTCTATTGTTCTGTTCTTCTTTTTCTTTTTGCTCTGCTTTTCCCCGATTGACTGGAAGAATTACTAATTTTTTTTTCCTCTGAAGAAGACAACAGAAAGCTCAAAGCTAGCTCCTTTCTCTTAGATCCCCAGTTTGTTCTTAAGCAGATGATAGATAGATAGATAGATAGATAGATAGATAGATAGATAGATAGATAGATAGATAGATAGATAGATAGATAGATACTCTTAGTGGTCTTTGTTACAGTTTCATGCTTCTTTGTTGCTAAATACAAATCTCAGCGAATGGATTGGGGAATTACATCTAGAACTATTTCAGTTGTTTCTCCTAGAATGTAATGGGTCAGCAATGAAAGAGCTGTCCACATAATTTAAATAAGTGTGAGGGAAACAAACAATTTTTAGCATGGTCCTAGAGCAGAGCTGTTGATAGTAGCATATTAAAAAGATCAGAATTGGGGTTGTGGCCTTTTTCCAAAGGCAAAGAGTCTTCAGTGTTTTATACATTCAGCATGTCGACAGAACTAGTAGATAAACTGATAAAAAGCAACAAGAATGTTTGCCTACTAGAAAGTGGTTCAATTAGTTTTCATTTAGGGAATAGGAGAAATGCAGACATGGTGTAGGGAATGCTGAAAAGGCTATGAATAAAGAATTTTGTTATAAGATTGTAATATAATATTGTAAGAAGGAATAAGGTTATGCAGCCATGTTAAGAAGATGCTAGAGATATTCATCTATAAATATAAGAAGTGGTCTAACATGAATCCTGTTAAGGTTGCTTCAGGTAAACAGTTTTCTAGAATGTTTTGAAATTGTTGTGAATGTCCTAGAAGATAGAGAGGATGTGCTGGGAAAAAAAATGTGAAAGGAATGGAATAGTTGTACATGACAAGGACATATGCAGAAGGTATTAATGTAAGAGGCAGCTGAAAGAATATGTAAATTAAGTGCACCAAAAGAACAAGTCAAACCATATTTCAGAGATGAGGACTCATCTGGGGATAATAAAAGCAAAGCTGATAAGCAGAAACTTTTTTGGACAGTGTTTTTGGAATTAACTCTGAAAAGCTTTATGAGGGGCTGTGTCAAGTCTGAGGTAACTTTTAATTTAATTAAAGACAAGAGAGTCATTGAATTCAGCATGGTTGCCAAAATGCCATGCATTGGTAGATGTGTTGGTGCCTAAGGGAGTGGGAGAGCTAGCGATAAAATGACATCATGAGCGGAACATCAGATGCGGGAATGCAAGGACATAAAGGTCATTATGTCAGTTTGTGCATGTCATCATTTTTATATAATCTGGGTGTGCTGCAGATGCTTATGAATAGTTGCCTAAGAACAGAAATACAAATCTTTGCTGAAGATAAAGGGAATGGAAGGCTGCATTACAGGAAAAAAAGGAAAAAGGAGCAATTGAACTGATTGTTCAAAATGTCATTTGTGTTCTGTTGCTGGATGCTAATTTGACGTCAGGGAAATAAACCATCAAAATAACTAAGAAGTACATTTTTAAGTAGGTCACTGTTTTGTCAGGATTCTAGATGGAGTTTTAAGCAAGACTCTCCAGGAGACTGGCCTTTATGAAGTAGATTGTATGAATGAAAAGATCAAAGTTGCAAAACAATGCTACCATTTAAAAAAACCCTGTTCAAACTGTGGCATAGATACCAATTTAATGGAATGCAATATCACAAGAGAAAGGAGATTTAGCAGGAAGCCTGAATATAGATGCTTACAATATGAAATCTAAATGTATATGGTTTATAAAGGAAAAAGCAATCGAGCTTATTTTTCTCAAGCATGAGAGAAGAGACACACCACCTCATAGAAATGTTTCACAAAGAGAAGAGTAAGAAAACAGCTGTCTAGGACTTCAACAGCTATGCATTTATTTAACCTGGTTGGTAATGAGTATATTGTAGAAATCAGAAATGTATTATAGATAAGGCTTCAGATTCTGTATTCAGATAATGGTGCAGAAATTAATGATGTAGCAATGTATTTCAGCAAGAGTGTATTGAACACAAGACAACATGGGCATCCAGCGGGAAATAAAGGAAGCAAATGACAACATACAGAAAAGGTGCAGCATTTCCTGATGAAGCGTGTTCCTAGTGGAGATGTAAGGTAGACAGAGGATGCAGGATATCAAGCAAGTTCTGAGGAGATGCAATCATTTTTGCCACGGGGCTGCAAAATGTTATCAGATAAAACCACAGCAATAACATCATATGAATTATGGCCCAGGAACCAATCAGTATGTCTTATATCAGTGATATAATAGCAATAGCACAGCACTTAGAGTTATATACCACTTCACAGTGCTTTAACAGCCCTCTCTAAGCAGTTTATAGAGTCAGCATGTTGCCCCCAACAATCTGGGTCCTCATTTTACTGATCTTGGAACGATGGAAGTCTGAGTCAACCTTGAGCTGGTGAGTATCGAACCACCAAACTGCTGGCAGTTGGCAGGAAGCAGAATTAACTTGCAGTACTGCATTCTAACCACTGTACCACCACAGCTCTATACAATAATCTATTACATGCAGCATATGTAGAATCTGTAAAGAGTTGCAATGAACCCAGAAGTATTGTTTGCTGAAGATGTTCAAAGCTGTAAAAAATTAAGTACTAATTGTAGAAATGATCCAGGGTGCATTGTGGCATGCTTTGATGAGAAGGAGAAGCCAAAGTATTGGTTGGGCCACCCATCCAAATAGGCATTCTAGCATAGCCAAGAATAGACCTCATTGGAAACCTTTAGCCAATCAGTGAATTGGGATGAAAAGGGAAGGAAAAACTGAAATTGTGGTGAGGTTGAACAAGATTGTTCACAAGGCTGAGCAAGGTAATTCCACTCAAAAGATTATCCTACTACTACACAAACAGAATGAGCAACAAAAACTCTATATGCATACTCACAGCATTCACAAATAAAGCTGAAAGATGAAAATATATCTTTGCAAAACAGGCATGATGAGCAAGGGGTCATCCAGCACCATGTTTATTCCTTAAAATGTTGATGAATATTATATTTGCTCCATAAAGCTGTATCTTTATGTATACATTTTTATGTATCTTTAAAGCTGTATGTCAGCCTCTGACTTTCTGCTTTGGCTGCCATAAGAAATGGGTGGGAGAGCATGGGGGAGGGAAATGAGTGAAAATAGGCTGTTTTCAGAAGTGAAAATAATTAATAAATACATTCATTCGGACCAAAACGGCTTTATCCCAAAGAGACAGATAAGAAATAACATGAACTAATAATTGACATATTAGAATATTATGAAATGAATATAGATAAACAATCGGCCTTAATTTTTTTAGATGCGCAGAAGGCCTTCGATAATTTAAACTGGAAATTTCTCATACTACAACTGGAAACTATGAAATTCAGCAATAAATTCACAAATATGATAAAGAAAATCTATTCACAATCAGCAAAAATAGCAATAAATGGTGATTTAACAGAACAATTTCCAATATCAAAAGGGGTGAGAGAGGGGTGCCCTCTGTCCCCCCCTGTTATTTATATTCGCCCTGGAAATACTTTTGAAGGAAATTAGAAGAGACAACGAAATAAAAGGCCTAAAAATTAAGAAGGAAGAATACAAATTACAGGCTTTCGCCGATGATATCATATTTATTACAGAGCAACCAATAACAACTGGCATCAAACTATTAGATCAAATAGAAAAATATGGGAGAGTAGCCGGACTCAAAATTAATAAACAAAAAACAAAGATATTGACCAAAAACCTTACTAGCCAACAAGAAAAGGAATTAGAAGATGAATTAGGCATACAGATGACAAAGAAAGTAAAATATTTAGGAATATGGCTCACCAATAAAAGTTCATCAATTAGAGAAGATAATTATGTCAAATTAACAAGACAAATTAAAAAAGATTTAGAAACCTGGAAAAAACTACAATTGTCATTCTTGGGAAAGATCGCTTCAATTAAAATGAATGTTTTACCACAAATTCTATATCTATCCCAAGTAATCCCAACAAAACCAGGGAAGAATTTCTTCAAGGACTTCAATAAATTAATATCAGATTACATTTGGCAAGGCAAGAAAGCAAGAATTAAAATAAAACATTTGCAGGATACAAGAGAAAGAGGAGGATTGGCTCTACCGGACTGGGAATCATATTATAAAGCATCAACATTAATTTGGATTAAAGAATGGATGGAACTTAAAAATAAAAGATTATTGAATTTGGAAGGATTTGACCTTGAACGAGGATGGCATGCGTTTCTATGGGAGGGCACCGATAGACGACATGGATACTTCCAGAGGCATATGATTTGGCACGCATTATATCAGACTTGGCAGGGCATCAAACAAATACACTACAATAAAATCCCGGAATGGTTGTCGACTATGGAAGCTCAGATCTACCCAAACGCTATGGACAACACCAAAATGAAAACATACAAAGACTTGTTAAACAACCAGGGAGAACTAAGAACAAGACAAGAATTGATGGACATGAGTACACACATCGACTGGTGGCCATACTTGCAAATAAAATCAAGGTACAAAAAAGATTTGACACCATTCGGATTCCAAAGAGGTCAATATGAATTAGATAAAATTCTACAAGGACCACAAGATAAATTGATTAAAAAAGTTTATAATTTTTACAAGGATACAAATTAGAAGAAGAAGTGGTTAAGGAAAATATGATAATTTGGGCAAAGAATTTCGGCTACAACATTGAATTAGACAATTGGGAAAAATTATGGACAATAAATTATAAATTAACAATGTCTGTACCCTACATAGAAAATTTATACAAAATGTTTTATAGGTGGCACCTCCCACCTGCTAGATTGGCAAGAATGTTCCCCAACACTCCCTCAACATGCTGAAAATGTAAACTCCACAAAGGGACGTATTACCACATGTGGTGGACCTGCCCAATGGCAAAACAATATTGACTAATGATCAGAAAACAAATAGAAGAAATAACCCAGCAAAGAATAGAGATGAGGCCAGAAACCTTTCTATTAGGTATAATAAATGGATAATATGAAAAGGAAATCAAATACTTAATTATTCACATAATGACAGCAGCGCGAATAGTTTTTGCACAACAATGGAAAAGCAGCAACATACCAATTGAAGGAAAAGTAATCAATAAAATCATGGAATGTGCAGAAATGGATAGACTCACAAAGGAATTACAAAATAGAGAAGAACACGATTACTATTTAGTATGGGAAAAGTGGTACACCTGGTTGGAAGGCAGAGAAAGGAAAATTCAGACAAATATAGGTTAACAATGAACCACCAAAATAGACATAAGAGATAGACTAATAATATTAAGGAGTCAAAAGCACAAATATGAACATAAAGTACAGTTACTATAAACTTGATATATATCTGAATTTTTGTTTATATGTTTACATGTTTTGTATGTTTTGTCGTGATTTGTTTTGTTTAGTTTGTACTTTCAAATAAAAAAAATTATATATATATATATATATAAAAGAAGCAGTTATTGTCACACTAATAGGATATGTATATATGCAAATTGCACTGAAGAGAGAGCATAGCATTAGTGGCATCTATTCTTCTATGAAGGTGGGAACAATCAGTTGGGCTAGCCAAAATCTATCAGCTGTTATAATTTTATTCAGAGAGGCAGAGTATGTATCAGTGGTACAGGTACACTGGCAGATTGTTTATCTAATCTTGAAACTGGTGAGCCAGTCAGTTCCATTTGGTCTGTTTCCTTCCTTCTCTCCCTTTTCCTCATCATGAAAACAGAAAGTTCAGATATGTTATATTTTTATCACTGCAGCTAATGTTTGGACTTATATAAATATAGTTATCCTTAATGAATTGGTTCTGCTAAATAGAGATTGCAGTGAACTAACTGAATAATTTCAGTCTATGGTACTTCAGAGGTTAGTTACAGAAAGGATCTTTAGTCCCATGGTTTAGTCTTAAAAAGATTAAACTCCATATTTTATCATGCTATCCCTGATTTATTCTCTTTGTGACAATCTCAGCAGGAATGATGAAACCTCTAATACTAACAGCATAGAGAATTCCAATATTAATCCAATAAGTGAAATTGTCTTACCGAGCAATACATTTGGTGGTACAATGATGTTAATATTCTTTATTATTCTGGAATCTTTACTAGTCAGCCAGATTTAAGTAGAAAGGAGGAAGGTACTCAAGAAGAAGACATGTGACTAATTACTCACACACGTCATATTTTAGCTCAAAAGTAGGGGGAGAAGGAATTTTGATGGTGTTAGTCATAATATCAATAACCAGAACTCCATTTTGTTTTTTCCTTTGCAAAATTTACCCAAACAGCTTTAATATCTACCTTTTATGTGATCAGAGTTTGAATGTTGGAATGTTGCATTATGTTTATGGGTATGTTATGTCTTACAGTCCTTCTTCTTGGTCTTCACCAACATGTACCTTACATTAGGATACTTCTTTCAGTAGAAATTAGGTTGGTAACGAAAAATCTTCACACCATGCCAAGTAAAAATGAGTTTCAAATGGTGAAGCATATATTGTAAATTCCTTTGCCTCCCCAAAGTAACTTAAACAGGATTCTTCACAATATGTTTTGACTTCTTCCAACAATTTGCCATGTTTTCCCTGCCAGAAGCTTCTTCAGTTTTGGCCAGGATGCTGGAAGATAGATTTCTAAATGCAAAGAAAGTGACATGTTGAGAGATTAGACTAGAGAGGAATCAATCAATTGGCATAGCACTTAAGTTTCAGAATACATTTAACCCTCCTGGATTTATAACTGCAAAGAAGCTTTTGAATTACATGGAAAAAGCCATCAAATATGCAGCTGGCATTCTGAGCTCAAATGTTCCCAGTTTCAACTTTTACATATTAATTTTTAAGGTAATGTGAGGCAACTTTGGCTGCCATCCCATGGCATAATTCAAGATCAAGTGAAAAACTTACCATTCATAACTTAGCTATTTTGGTAGGCAAGGTGATATATAAAAACGCTGGGGGAAATGAAAACCAGGATAGTCCCCTGCTAATTTTTTGCATGTTTGTTCAGAAAATATAGATTTCATTTTTCTTTTATATTTTTTTCTCTTCCATGTCCTCATTATTGATATCCAATTCAGTCTCCTCTGCTAATGAAAACTCAAGACTAGCTTTCAGATTCATTGCAGAAAACAAATACGTATGCTTCCTTCTGTATAACTTTATTAAGCACACATTGCTTTAAAATAACTGGATTTACCCCAGTGATCAATGATTAGGTTATATTTGTCTCTATCAAAGAAGAAATACACAGATCTATGACCATACTCAGGATGCAATGAGAATGAGTAAAATAGGGGGGGGGGGGAAATATTTGGAAATAAGATCTATATATTTAACTTGTTGATCTTAGCTAGTTTTGAGACTATACAGGGCCTCAGCTAGTTAATGATTGGGTAGGAGAACACCAGGAAAACTAAGGTGAATAGGCTGGAAAGAATGAATGGCTTCTTTGTATTTTGCAAAATAATCCATACGAATATGTTAAAGTGGTCATCAGGAGTTGAGCTCTACTTGAGGGAGTCTTTTAATGAACCTTTTCCTTAAAGCACAGAGGATATGGAAAAGTAACCCATGGTTAATTTATGGGTCAAAAGGACAACCACATTGCTTTAAATGGAAACATTCAAGGAGGGTTTTTAAAAATGACCAATTCCAATGGATATGTTAGACACTATGATTTGGCAAAGGAATTAATAAAGAATAAATTCAGAAAAGTTGTTGCCCATGCAAACTGCTTGGAAACTTTCCAACAATTTCAAATTTCCTTTGAAATTCCTGAGACATACCATTTGGAAGCTGGAACAGGGAAATGTAAAAGAGGTTCATAACAACCCCCATGTGTTAAAAGGTAATCATCACCACTCATGGCTTCAATAAATCATATTATATTACAAAGGTAGCATCCATAATAAATGCCATTAATAGTTTCTGGGTTAGGGAAAGGCAATGTGTAAATCAAACATTGGTCAAAAGCCAGAAATGTTAGATGAGCTAGCCCCTGCATTCAATACATATAAAGAACATTAGTCAAAGATTTTAAAGGGCTTCCGGTTCAAAAATACATTGACTGTTTCCCTGTCTTTCTAATAATACCAGCTTCATTCTTTAATGGCCGGGATGGGCTAGACAGCAGAATGTGTGGATCAAAAGGCTGTAAAAGATTCAGATGATGAAAAACAAGAAGATTCATAAACAGCAATTCTAGGGACTTGCATAGTCAGCAGCAGGATGTGACGCTCATGATAATTAGAGCAAATTCTAAAAGGATTCCTAAACTTGTTAGCAGTAGGAATAATTAACAGTAGTTCATTGACCAAGAGGGGAGCTGGGTTCCCTTAACTATAGGTTCAACAACTTTCTATCAGGGACAGTAAAGTGACATTTGCACTGAAGGGACAAAGCTAAATGGATCCTTCCAGTTCTATGAGTAAATTATTTTAAGTATACATCTAATCAAAATCTGATGAACATTTGAATCTCACTATGTCACAAGTCTTTTTTTTAACAGATGGGGGTGAGTGGAAACTCAGTAATCACATTAATCTAGTGTGCAATAGAAATAATAAAAACACCATTCCTCTGCTTTTCATATAAAAGATTTTGCTTTCTACTGAGTCATGTTTCTGTATTTTGTGCATTCTGGACTGCATGCCTGGCGTTTGGATTTTATCATAACATAAGCACCAATATGTTGGCCAAAAAATATGATTGTGCCCCAGTGGAACAATGAACCCAGATCCTCTTCAGGTTCTAATAATAACACCTGAATGGAGACATAAAATAATTCCAATATACCAAATGAATTTCCTGGAATGGATGAAAACAGTTGTATACTTGTAAGTATAACAATATTCCTCCCCCTTCTGCTGTGCCCCATTTTACTAGAACAGTTGAATAACTAGATGCCACATTCAATGTGCAGTACATACTGCTTATCATCTTGACAATGAATATGTTAACCACACAATGCAGGATCACCTTCCCAAGATATATAGAGCCTTCTGGAAAGGAATTTTCACACGAATACTCTCCCAAGTAAATCAAACTATTGAATTATTAATACCAAAGCATAGAAATTTTTCTAACCAGGGAGTTGAGCCAGACATTCATAATAGAGATATGACCCAGCCCTAGCAGACTCTACTAGCTCAGCATGCAGAGGAGAATTTGCATGCTAAATACTAAAAAAACAAAGAACCAAAACAAATCCACTTTCCATTGTACAATATATACTGCTCAAAAAAATAAAGGGAACACAAGCAGAAGACATCCAAGATCTGAATGAATGAAATAGCCTTATTAAATACCTTGTTCGTTACATACAGTAGTTTTGTGTTCCCTTTAATTGTTTGAGCAGTGTATAAACTACTTATGTAAAGAACAAAGTATTTAATAAGGCTATTTCATTCAGATCTCAGATGTCTTCTGCTTGTGTTCCCTTTATTTTTTTGAGCAGTATATTTATGTTGGAAAGAAAACTTCCCATCATGTTTCTATGACATGTAGAAACTTTTAGTGTCATGCAGCCTTCTCTTCTTGTGATTCAAGGAGAAATGTAATATATGACAAAGGAGACAGCAAATGAAGATTATTAAACATGCAAAAGTGTATTGCCATTGTCTTCTTCCAAGATGCTTGACAACTTTGGAACTGCCAAGAGGTTCCCCATCCAAGTGCTACCTAGAGATTTCAGGACTGTTTCAGGCAAGTGACTTTCCTTCCATCTTTGCTTGGAGCTGGGCTGCCACAAAGGCTCTGGTGCATACAATACTGACTGATGCTTTCTGAAGCCTTGCCATACTCCTTGTAATTGCAGATTCAGTGCTCTTATGAAAGAGTGATAGAGCTGTTTTGAATCCTAGGTGTGGCACAGTGGTGGGTTTCAAATTTTTTTACTACTGGTTCTGTGGGTGTGGCTTGGTGGGTGTGGCATGGTTTGGTGGGTGTGGCTTGGTGGGTGTGGCTTGGTGGGCGTGGCAGGGGAAGGATACTGCAAAATCCCCATTTCCTCCCAATCAGCTGGGACTCAGGAGGCAGAGAATAGATGGGGGCAGGGCCAGTCAGAATTTTTACTACCGGTTCTCCGAACTACTCAAAATTTCTGCTACCGGTTCTCCAGAACTGGTCAGAACCTGGTGAAACCTACCTCTGGTGTGGCATCGTCTGAAGATCTTTGACAGATCTCATCCTTTATTGATTGTTCTTCTTATCCATGCTGCACCTATCTTTCTATCTTACAGTCTTCAGGCTGGTTGAACACACCATTCCAAACATTTTCCTATACTTTCCTAACTCCATCTTATGGTGATACTTGTTTGGAGGAAAAAGAATATAGGAAGAATCAGCCAAACATGTTCTTAACTTTAAAAAAAAAATAAAGACAGCAAGAATTGCCAGCCTTGTTTCTGACTAGACTTACACATTGGATAATTTAACCCAACCATCTGGCTGTATTTTCTTACTGTTGTGGTGGTATTGATGATGATGATTTTATTTTCACTCTTACTGCAAGCAGGAACATATCAGGAAAGTCAGGAAAGATCAGAAGTCACTTGAACAACAGATTCATAGTTGTTATAACTCAACTCCGTGTCCAATTTTTACTATGCTCCTTTTCATCTTTTCAAATGCTGAGGCTGTCAAAAATCAGGATCAGTTAATTTGCAGTAAGTGATCAGCATAAACAGATTCCTGAGGGCCATTTGGGGTTTAGCAGTTTTTTGTGTGTGATGATAATTGTCTGAATAATAACATTTTTTTCCAGTCATAGCAACATGGAAATTTGCGATGGCAGAAGGATTTCATGCATGTCTTCAAAATGGCATAGATATTTAAATTCAATATTACTTTAAAGAAAATTAAAAATTCCCTCATTTTCTAATTATTGTATTCAATTGACCCAACACCTAAGCAATAGCACATTATACAATCTAACCCTAAACTATATGTTTTCATATTATCTTTAGAAAGTAAGAAACAGACTTGGAATTAAAGATGACAGCATTGAACAAATTTATAGCTAGCTTTTATTCTCTCTCCCTTTCCTCTCCCATTTCCAAATATGTGTGTCGTGTAGTTCATTTTTATTTATTTTTATATTATTTATCACATTTATATAGTCACCCTGTCACGTAAAATGTCTAACTTACATATGCTCCTATTGCTCTATGGTCTAGCAAGGGTTAACACTACTACACAACCCATCACTCCCACAATCCCACCTTACCTTGACTCCTCCCCCTGGGTACAAAAGGACCGTCCACATGGGTACCAGGCCAGTTCCAGCCACATACCTGAAAAGAAAGGACATAGGTCAGTTACAAGTGTATACTTAGGCTTATGATATATTTATGCATACAAATAAATAAACTGCAACAACTACTACTTTGTATTGAGAGTTATTGGGCTAGATCCTCCAAAATTAACACACCCATCTCATGCAGTGAGTCTCTAATTATAGAGAAATATCAGTTGTGATAAAGTGGAATACTTTTTAGGGCATTCAACTGTCAAGTGAGTTCAGTCACATCTCATCTTCACTCTGAATCAGATTTGAAAATGAGTCTGCTGCATTATATCTGCTGTCAAAGCAAAAGATAGAAGCAGCTCCCTCGACAGGGATGGGGAGCACTGGAAGGAGTAGATTCAATATCTGCCTAGCTACCCAAAGCATTTTTCATTCTGTACTGCAGAGAGCATGGAAGGAAGAAGAGTTTAGATGCCAGAGAAACCTGTCTTTTGGGCCTACTGTAATGCATTTTAACACAGGGAGGGAAAACTGTCCATTACATTTTTAAAAATTCACTAATATCTCCCTCCCCATCAAAGCCCACTCTCTTATAAGGTGGTTTTAAATATTTGGAAATGATAGATAGATGACAAATAGATGATAGATAGAGAGATCATAGTATAATTAAGTAGGATATGTTTTCTCTCAGACTATATATCCAAATTGTGTGTGTGTGTGTGTGTTTTCTATTAAGACATCTGGTCTACCCCAGCATGTGGGAGGGAGCATACTGCATCCCTTTTGCCTTTCAGCTCCAATCCAGGAGCCCTCAAGCAGTCGCATTCACGACAAACCATTTTATACCAAATTTATATTTCGCTGATAAAGAAATAAAAGGAGACTAGTATAGATCTATTTCAAGCTATTTAGCTCTCATCAGCTAGCCATAACCTTACTTGGATTTGAACTTGGACTACCTGCATGTTAGACAGTTGTATTAACCTCTGAGCCACAAGTTCTCCTCCCTTCATCAGCTTGAGCCAGGGGAGAGAATAAGTGTTCTATGTATTCTGTGCATTTTGGGTGAGCAATTTGTCTGATACATTTTAGAGCTACATTTTCCAAAAATACTCCAGATTCTACCCATTATTTTTTTTTAAAAAAAATAGCATTTTGTATGCATCATTTATACTCTGTGGGAAACTACATCTTAAACTCAGCTTTGAATGAATCGGTATAATCTAGTGTGAAGACTAAGGTATTCCCTCCACTGAATGTTAAAAATATGGCTCAAATCTCACAAAATCCCAAAAAATGTATATGCAATTTTGCAATACCTTATACAAAAAATTCAGAACCTCAGCAATAATATCACATAATCTCATTAAAATTACAAAATATTCTGGCAGACTCATGAGATTGATGGGTTTTTTTTGGAAAAATACATTTGAGATGGAGAGTTGTGAGGACAACATGTGCTGGATGGATGGATGGATGGATAGATAGATATATGGATAGACAGGCAGACAGACAGACGTTGTATAATTAGATAGGATATTATATACCTGCACACAGAAGTATAATTTTATTTGATTGACTGCAGGGTTAGGGGTGAATAATTCCTCTCTCAACTTATACAATAGAGGAATATTTTGGCTATTAAGTTTTATTTGGATTTGGGAAATTTTAAAAATCTGGTGCTTTTACAGTTGACTGAGAAAGTTTTTTTGTCTGGAAGACAACACTAAACTGTAGTTAACTGTGTTTTAATTTAAAGTATACTGCCTTGGGTATTCTTCTAAATTAAAAGGCAAAAATAAATTTAAAAAAACTAAAACAAAATAGAAAAGGAAATGTGCACTTCTTATTAGATCTAGAGGCGTGGAAAATACAAAATGCACTGGAGCATCATCATAAACAATTTACAGTATGCTACCATAAGCACTAATTTCATCTCCCTTCCCATTCCCAGGTTTTGAATAGACAACCAATAACAAATAATTACACACACACAAACACACATAACAATTTTTCAGAGAAGAATCATTTTTGTGTACTTGAAATCAAGCGTGTCTGAGTTCTAATTTTGCCTTAGACACAAAAGCATCTGGATCACTCTCTCAGGTCTGGGAAGCAGGCAATGGCAAACCACTTCTGAAAATGTTGCTAAGAAAATTGCAGCAACTCATCCAAGTAGTTGCCAGGAAAAAATATTTTTCATAATAAGAAGAGCTGAATAAGTCTTCAGTCTTCTCCATGGGGAAAAAAAATCAAACAAATTGATATGAATTTTAAAAAGGGGGAAATAAATAATTGATTTGAAGACATTATTGGAAACAATTCCTAATTCTAATGTTTATAACTATGTTAACATAATCATCGTTTGGGTGATTATAATGGGAGATAATTTGGTTTCCCAATATAATTTTTACTGTTTTCTTTTCTTTCCTTTTCTGTTTTTTTCCCTTTCTCTCAGTTTTTCCCTTTTACATGATTGCATGCACCTATCTTTAGAACAGTGACAAACAGTAATGATATCAATATTGATATCATATTTAGAGTTTTATAGATATTTCAAATAATTTCTTAAGATAATATATTTAATGAATGAAATAATGAAACAATGCATTTTTAATTTTAGAACTGTAAATTCTTTGTTTATTTACTGTTTTACTTTTTAACCACCATGTCTCTTCCTGATTTCTTTCATGTAACTTTAAATGGGAAGGAAGGAAGGAAGGAAGGAAGGAAGGAAGGAAGGAAGGAAGGAGTGGTGGGATTCAAACATTTTACTACCGGTTCTGTGGGCGTGGCTTGGTGGGTGTGGCATGGCATGGCATGGCATGGCTTGGTGGGCATGGCAGGGGAAGAATACTGTAAAATCCCCATCCCTCCCCACTCCAGGGGAAGGTTACTGCAAAATCCCCATTTCCTCCTGATCAGCTGGGACTCGGGAGGCAGAGTATAGATGGGAGTGGGGCCAGTCAAAGGTGGTATTTACCGGTTCTCTGAACTACTCAAAATTTCTGCTACCGGTTCTCCAGAACTGGTCAGAACCTACTGAATACCACCTCTGGAAGGAAGGAAGGAATCTCTGAATTTTTCTTAAGCACCTTTTAGGTAAGATCTATGTATATTATGAGCATTTAATAAAATGCTCATAAAGTAACATTTGAATATATTATGAAGAAGAGGAAATAAAGAGCATAAAACAGAGAATATATGTATGCATAGTTATATATTCAACATCTGTCTACATGCCTATATGTCATTGAATATGTTCACTGTTTTTAATTACCCCCAATATCCCTTAGTTTTCACTTACAAAATCCCCTGTCTGTTGCCCTCATGTTTCTTGTCTTGTTGTATACAGAAGAGAAGAGAGAAGGTATAGAGGGAACCCAGGCCCAAATTTTACTGAATTAAGTATGTTATAAATTCTGTAGTCTAAAATCTGTCTGGATTCAGAACTAATGCCTTTAAACTCTGTCAGTATGAACCATCTACTCCTCAAAGCAATGAAAGTTATCTGATTTATTGCTTTTGAAAAAGTATGGTTCATCTGTAATGTTGTGGAATTGAACTGAAACTAAAGAATTCCTGCAGCAGTGAAGTTGTACTGCCAACTTTGAAACATGAGCATTAATCCTATAGCTATGCACAATTTAGATTCATGACAGGATTATGAAGGGCTTCTGGATATAGATGTTTACTCAAGTGTAACCCTAATATTGCAAACCTAAACCTGAATCTGAAATCTATACATGATATATAGACACCATCTATTCATACGGCTTCATAATTTCTATGTAGAGGCAAGCATAATGAGCAATGATTCCTCATATTATAAAATAGGATTTTATAGATTATAAAATAGGAACAATTACTTCAACAAAAATAGTTCCTTAACAAGAACCAATAATTAGCTTATCTACACTTACATCTTTCACAAGATGTGAAAGTACAATAGTACAGAACAGAAAAAAGCTGTTCTGAAAGGAGGACAAAACAGCAATCATTTTAATTGGATTTATATCTTTTATATGTACAAACACACACACACACACACACACACACACACACACACGCCATACTGGATAATATAAAGGTCAAAGAGTTCAGAAAATTGGGTTGCCACCTGGTCGCTGAAAGCTGAAATGTTGATTGATTGAAATATTGGACCACAGAATTAAATTGATTGATTCGCAATGAAAAAGAAGAATTAAAAACTTGTAACTATATTTTAAAAATAAAAGATTAGATTAGGAAAAGGAGGACACTGAAAACTGTTACTTACTTAGCCGTTATGGAGACTTGGAAACATAGCTAAAATATATGGTCTGTCTTCTAGTTCAAAAGATTTCCATTCCCATTACTGGACATATTTTAACCATTCTGACTTCCATGGGGGAAAAGAAGGAATATTAATTGCACAACAGTGCAAATCAGTCTTAAAATTCCAAACTGGAGAAGCCAAAACAGAAGCAACCATGACTAATAGGTAGAATTGAAAAGCATAACTCTACCCTCAAATAAAATCTCATTCTTTCCTAAGTACAATTCTTGTTTGATTCAGAACTATTCCCAACACAGTTCCATATACACTAACTACCTATCCCAAAGGATTGTTGTCCCTCCCATCAGATTTTCCCCTGTGATGGAATGTTGTCCAAATTTCCAAGAGGGAGGAAGTGCATTTCAGAGAAGCAAGTGAGAGCACAGTGAAGATATCTATGGAGGTTCGCAATCATCTAGGTCATAGTCATCCCAAAGGTGCTTTTTTCCAAAAGACAACTGTACTTTCTTTTTTTTCCTTTGAAGATGTTTTGCTCCTCAGTTCATGAAATGAAGAAGCTTCTTAGATGAGAAAAGTTTTCAAGAAAAAAACCAAGAAAGTCCAGCTGCCTTTTTTGGGGAAAAAAAAAACACCTTTTGCACAGTGTAGATAATCTGTGTGGGAGAAAGAGAGCGGAGATGGAAAACACAGCTATGACCTGGATGACTGAGAATCTCAATAGACAGTGAAGATGGACCTACCCTAGCAATTCTTAGAGTTTCTGTTTA